AACACAGAAGTAAGCTATTTTCTGTGAATGTGCGAGACTTCTGATTCATTAGCCGCAATAGGTAAATAACTATAAGAATAACAATGTGCAGTAAACAGTAAAACTATTTGTGCTACAAACTAGTGTGTTTATAAAGACAATACATTAAACTAATACGATAAGAAACACCAGTTTTATATATAAAGCAGCAAAATGGACAACTGAAAGCGAATGACAATGGAAGCCTCACACATTCAAGTTACAAATGGCTGCACCCACTCTTACGTTAAAAATAAGGTGAATACTGAACCAGAATGAATCAGTTTAAAGTAGATATTTTGTAAAGATTTGCTTAAGTCCCAGAAATACCATAGAGTTAGGATAGGCCAAAAAAGAAATGTGATCATGCATATTGGTTCATGGTTATACAGGCACACATTGATGTTGGAAATGAATGTCATGTTAATGTTTTGTGGTTTGCTTAGTGTGCACAGCTGTAATGTGATTGTCACTCATTTTAGATGATGTATAGCATTGTACAGCTTCCGATTTTGAATTTCTCTACGTCTGTGTAACTTATCTCTTTTTGTATTTTGAGTATTTGTAAATAGTGAAAAGTTCAGCTCAAAAAACAAATAAGAAATTGAGTGACACTTGTTTTGCAATAGATTTCTCTATAGCAATTAGAATAATTCACATTTACAGTTTGTTCTCTCTCTGAAATGCCCGAATTGGATTTTGTTTAATGCCAAACCTCAGATGTTTTTGACTGAATCTGCATTTTGCAGACGTTTTATGTTTCTGTGGCATTTAGAGTAACAATATGTTTTAATATAATTGCCTACTATAACGTAAATGCTGTATTCCCTGTGAATGTTAATGACAATTTTATTTTATTAAACATCTTGATTTGTGTATTCATATTTATTAATGATATAAGCCTGAACAACTGCATTAAACAACTTACATCTGTCCCATGTTTTACAAACTCTTTACAAAAGAATCTGAGAATTGATTCATGATATCTGTAACGTTACTTAACAGTATTCAGATTAAACTCTTAAATTTAAGAGTCAAATTAAGTTGAAGTTATGAAAGCAGTAGCTACACATGAAACAGCAAAACAAAGTTTACACCGCAGCAGAATAAGATTGTCAGTCTTGTATTTGAATGCACAATACGGTTCCGTATAGTTGCCCAGCAAATTTGTGCGTTTGGTGTTTGATGCGTATTTTTTTATGTGGTTTCGATAACTTACAGAGAACCAGAAACGATGTGTATCATCATCTGAAGGTATTAGATCCAGTCTTCCACAGGAGTTGCTTCGGTCAGTTTTATGGGCAGCTTCACACAGGTATTAAAGCTGTTGTTGATTAATTAGACTGGCAAATGAATGCCTAGTTATCGCGAGAATAGAAAACATCAGACAGTTGCCAACGGAAAATAGCCAATTATCGTCTTTGATATACATAGACAATTTTTAAATACTTAATTTTGTGCTCTATTCAGACAGCTGCTATATTAAGCTATTATTATTATCATCATCATCATCATTATTATGCTACTTTTTATTAGGCAATCAGTACTATATAGTCATGGCCAAAAGTTTTTCCAAAGTTTGCTGCTTCAGTATTTGCAGATTATTTTCCCACATGTTTCTATGGTATACTGAAAAACAATGATAAGCATATCATAAGTTTTAAAGGCTTTTATTGGCAAAAAAATATAATGAGTCAATATTTACAGTGTTGACCCTCGTTCTTCATAACCTCTGCAATTCGCTCTGGCATGCTGGATATTAGCTTCTGGGACAAATCCTGACTGATGGCGATCCATTCTTGCCTTATTAGTTCTCGGAGTTGAGGACTGACCACAGGTTCTCTATGGGATTGAGATCCGGGGAGTAGCCTGGCTACGGATCCAAAATGTCTATTTAATGATGTTCGAGCCACTTCTTTATCACTCTTGCTTTGTGACATGGTGCTCCATCATGCTGGAAAATGCACGGATCATCACCAAATTGCTCATGGATCGTTGGAAGAAGTGGCTCTTGCTGGACGTTTTGATACCATTCTTTATTCATGGCTGTGTTTTTGGGCAGAATTATTAGAAAGCCCACTCCCTTGGTTGAAAAGCAACCCCACACATGGTCTCAGGATGCTTCACTGTTGGCACAACACAGGACTCATGGTAGCGTTCACCTTTTCTTCTCTGAACAATCAATTTTCCAGATGTCCCAAACAGTCAGAAAGCAGCTTCATCAGGAGAAAATAACTTTGCACTAGTCTTCTGCTGTCCAATTCTTGTACTTCCTGCAGAATTTCAGTCTGTCCTTGATGTTTTTCTTGGAGAGAAGAGGCTTCTTTGCTGCCCTTCTTGACACCAGGCCGTTGTCCAAAAGTCTTGGCCTCACTGTGTGTGCAGATGCTCTCACACCAACCTGCTGCCATTCCTGAGCAAGTTCTGCACTGTTGGTGACCCGATTCCCTTGCTGACTCCTCAGGAGGAGACGGTCCTGGCACTTGCTGTACACTCTGGGACGTCCTGAAGACTTCTTCAATGCAGTCGAACCTCTCTCCTTGAAGTTCTTGATGATCCGGTAAATGGTTCTTTTAGGTGCAATATTCTTTGTAGCAATTTCCTTGGATGTGAGGCCATTTTGATGCAAAGCAATCATGGCTGCACGTGTTTCTTTGGAGGTAACCATTGCTAACAAGAACACAATGATTGGAAGCGCTTCTTCCCTCCTTTTATAGCAATCAGTCTGCTCTTACAATCTAATTAGTATGATAGTGATTAACCTGACTAGTACTCATTCACACTTTCACATGTGCTGCTGATATGATTAGTCAGTTGATGTTAGCTGGTCATTTTGTGTCAGGATCAAAAAACAATGAAGCTTTTAGCAATTATTTAAAATGCATCTGATCACTCTACACAATAATCTAGAAACAATGTGAATGAACACCACAACAGCTTAAGCAGCAAACTTTGCAAAACACAAAATTTATGTCATTGCCAATGTATATATATACAGGGTTGGAGAGTACCGGAATACATGTAACGGCATTACGTAATCATCATACAAAAACTGGTAACTGTAATTCGTTACAGTTACGTCAGAAAACAAAGTTATCAGATTACAGTTATATTTTGTAAAAAATGGGAGTACTATCAGGATTACAATGGTTTCATTTTAGTAAGAAATAATTGACGATGGCCCATAGAATTATTAGAAAATAATGATCCGAGGTGGTGATGCGGCCACGACATGAAGCATCAGACTAATGAAATTATTAATAAAGGCCTATAAGCTGTTTTTGTACATTGTATTTATGGCCTGCTTTAATTGCAATAATGATGACCAATAAACCCTTTTTATAAGGCATCATAATATGAGCTTATATGTGACCCTGGAGCACAAAACCAGTCTTAAGTCGCTGGGGTATATTTGTAGCAATAACCAAAAATACATAGTATGAGTCAAAATTTTTGATTTTTCTTTTATGCCAAAAATCATTAGGATATTAAGTAAAGATCATGTTCCATGAAGATATTTTGTAAATTTCCTACCGTAAATATATCAAAACTTAATTTTTGATTAATAATATGCAACGCTAAGGACTTCATTTGGACAACTTTAAAGACGATTTTCTCAATATTTTGATTTTTTTTTGCACCCTCAGATTACGTGATTAGATCAGCCAAATATTGTCCTATCCTAACAAACCATACATCAATGGAAAGCTTATTTATTCAGCTTTCGGAAGATGTATAAATCTCAATTTTGAAAAATTGACCCTTATGTCTGGTTTTGTGGTCCAGGGTCACATATTACTTGAGGAGTTGTTGGAATGTCATTATTTATAACAATTGTGTATATTTTCATGTTAGCAGAATGAACATTTGTCACCAAGGCTTTATTCCAAAGTAGATTATAAACCTACATGTTGTTTACTCGGGCCTTTAGCTTTTTAAAACCCATGGGTCAAACCAAAGCAAAAAAGCAGCAGTCGGAGATGACCAGTTGCGTTTTATAATTCATAAACCAGAAAACGGGGTCACTCCCAGGCCTACTTTCATATTACACAAACCCCTGTTTCCCACTCAACCCAAGCCTCTTATTTTACAAAACCTCCCATTCTGATTTAGCAGCCATTGGAGAATGGAAAATAAGTCATATGGATTTACAAGGTATAACAAGGAAATCTGTTCCAGAATTTCTTCTGTTTCTGTTTTTCAGTCTGGTGCTTGTTCTTACGCATGAGAAGGCAAAATTTGATATGTGATTTGAGATATGTTGAAGGCAACAACCACGCAAAGTGTATAGAAAAAAAAGGGGGGAAAAAAAAGACAACAACCAGAAAATCAAAAATAACTATGAGGCCAAGTTTCACAGTTCTTCGTTTTACTGAAATTGTTCTGACATACAAAACGTTTTCATATTTAAATCAATCACAGTATGACCACAAAATGGCAGAATATTCGCTCTGATAACTTTTAAAGTATGACTTGATACAATATCAAGCAAGTTACAGAAAGAAATAATTTTGCTCCACAAAAATGCAGAGTTTATAAATTATATAAATAGAATTGCGGCACTCTGAGCGCAAATAACTATTACAATATACAATTCCGACAAAATGCGATATCAAAAAATCAAACACGCAAAGCACCAAGCATCCCTCCCTTTATTTAACCACCAAAGAAAGTTTGTTATTGTTCGGTTTCGTGCACACCACAATCAATCCGATCAAACAGCTGGCAAATAAGATTAAGCCAACCACTATGAGTCCGATCTGAAACCCCTCCAACAACTCCATCCGAGCAATCAGCTCTTTCTTGAACATGTCGGCCGTCTCATCGTCCAGAACTGCCGTCTTAACACAAATAAGAGACAAAAATCTTATAGTCAGTAGTGAGGCGGCACCTAATCCTGCTCTGATGAAACAATCAAACGGTCCAGAGGTCAGACATGTGTGAGATTGATATCAAGCAAGTTACAGAAAGAAATAATTTTGCTCCACAAAAATGCAGAGTTTATAAATTATATAAATAGAATTGCGGCACTCTGAGCGCAAATAACAATTACAATATACAATTCCGACAAAATGCGATATCAAAAAATCAAACACGCAAAGCACCAAGCATCCCTCCCTTTATTTAACCACCAAAGAAAGTTTGTTATTGTTCGGTTTCGTGCACACCACAATCAATCCGATCAAACAGCTGGCAAATAAGATTAAGCCAACCACTATGAGTCCGATCTGAAACCCCTCCAACAACTCCATCCGAGCAATCAGCTCTTTCTTGAACATGTCGGCCGTCTCATCGTCCAGAACTGCCGTCTTAACACAAATAAGAGACAAAAATCTTATAGTCAGTAGTGAGGCGGCACCTAATCCTGCTCTGATGAAACAATCAAACGGTCCAGAGGTCAGACATGTGTGAGATTAGCTGTTTATGGACTGTAATAATTCTTCTGATATATCAGATACAAGATTACAGAAAATACTTTATTGGTCCCAACTGGTCTAAAGTACCCATTTAAAGTGGAGATAACAGATTTAGAGTGGACTTACAGGTGCATCTCAATAAATTAGAATGTCATGGAAAAGTTCATTAGTGGACCCACATATTTTAGTTGGACCTAAATGCTTTATTTCAACCTAAGTGTTTTATATGAGCCTAAATTCTTTAATTGGAGGAATGCTTTGATTTGACTTATAATCTTTATTTCAACCTAAATGTTTTATATTAGCATAAACATTTTAATTCAACAATAATTTATGTATGCACACGCATGCACACATTTATTTTATATATAGTAGTTAAGTATAAATACTACTGTATTTAATAATAACAATAAAATAATTTGTATCAATGCCCAATTATTTAATTATTTAAAAAGAATATTCAAGGCATCAAGCTGACATATTTCCTCTTTTATAAATGGTAATACTAAGGTTATTATAGATCCTTTACTGGACCTATATGCTTTAATGAAATACATTCATTCATTAGCACTCACCTCGTTCACCCACAAAATAGGGAAAATTGTGTAGTCCTTGATTTTGTTCAAAATTCTTTGAGAAAGACAGACACAAGACATCATGTTAGGATGTGCATTTATGAATTACGCGAAGTGCACAACTGCACATGCATCCATGACAATGTGTGATGCCTGTTTACATACATAATACTATCCGATGGGCCGTACAACATGTTGAGCTGAAGCCTTTTTGCAAATCTCAGAGTGAAACCTGTAATCTACATATGACACAAGATGCATAGCCATTATCTTATCTTAAAGCTTCACCCTGTTAATAAAAGAAAACGTATGCAAACTGAAATGGGTTCCTCACCGGTTCTACATCCAGAAATATGGAGTGCTCATCGAAGTTCGGGTTCAGTCCGATCACACCTTGGTGGAGATCATTGCTGCCATAGAGAAAGTGGGGTAGAGAGAGGAATACTGGGGCTCCTGTTGAAAAATATTGAATATAAAAAAACTCAAACGTGAAAGAATAATACATTCAGTAAACTTTAGTCTTAAGTTGACTTTATAAGAGGCCCTTAGCACTGACCTCTACAGGCAGTGAGGTCAAGAAGTCCTGCCGTCGTGCAGTTTTTGGTGAGCACAGGGTCTGTACAGTAGCACTGGTTATCTGGGTTCTCCACTGGAGAGGCCAGAGCTTCAGGGGGCAACAAGTACCGATACACAGAGATTCCCTTCAGGTCAACAGTTCTATCAAACTTAGCAGATATTGACCTAGAGGACAAGCACAATATTTGTCACAAATGTATGTGTTGCAAAGGGGCAAGGAGTGTTTCATCACATTAACCATTACTTCTTTTTTTTTTTTGACCACCAGAAAGTGTCCAAATATTCTCTGTCCAAATATCCTTAATACTGAACAGTATATCAGTTGTTTTATAATTGATATAATACACTACGGTTCAAAGGTTTGGGGTCTGTAAGATTTATTTATTTATTTAAATATCTTATGCTCACCAAGGCAGCATTTAATCTAAACATTTAATACAAAAAAAAAAAAAAAAGATTATTGTAAATTATTATTACAATTCAAAATAACTGTTTTCTATTTTAATATAGCTGAAATCAATTAGAAATAGACCATTTATGTAACATTTTTCTATGTAACATCTGTTACAAAGATTAATTGTCCTTGCTCAAAAAAATAATTCATTAAAACAAAATCTTACTGACCTCAGAACAGTAATGTATATTAATTGTACTAAACTGATATAATAAAATTGTTTATTTTTGTGAAATATTTCCATTGTTTGAAAAGTATCCTTTAGATTTTAAAATGATAAATTTCATTTGATAATTTGCATATAATTCAATAACATTCATTCATTTTTAAGCGTGCTTCGCGTCGTGGCCGCATCACCACTTCGGGTGTGCATTCTTTTCTAATAATTCAACGGTCCGTTTTCAATTATTCCTTACATTCAAATCATGATCAAATCTAATCAGATGCGGAGAGATAAAAGTCCATGAACCCTCATGGAAAAGATGAGACTTTAATCAATAGATTATGAGAACATTGCTGATGAGTGGCATTTCAAAATATACAGTTTCCTCAAAGTATTTGGAAATGTATGTCTCCAATAAAATGGAAGAAAGCCATATCAAATGGCATTTATTGTAAAGAAAGATAAGCATAAGCAATTGACTAATAATCATCTAGTCAAAAGTTCCTTCTACGATAGAAGTGAAGTTAGTTTTGAGAAAAAGTCTAAATATCAGATGTTTGCAGATGCTTTGGTTCATATTTTGTCTTAAAAGGAAGCAATCTTTATCATTTGAAAGTGTATTTTTATTTACTTTTTCTACTGATTATCAGGGAACAAACTGAAAATACCTGCAGATATCAGAAGAGAAGAAGTACAGGGGTTCTTTCTTGTCCAGGAACGGGTGGAAGGAGGAACCATCTGTTAACATATGAATACAAAATTGAATAATGTGATTAATGTGTGATATATTACATTTGTTGAGATTCATATCAGAAATCTTTGAACACATTGGTGTCCTTGTAGAAGTGCTCACAATCAGAAGATGATTAACAATTAAACTAGATGAAAAACTATAGCATACTATTTCTTTATTGGACACATACACCAAGGTTTTAGGCCAATAGCTTTGGGCCAGATGTCATACTATTTGCATACATGTCAACAATAATGTAATTACTTCACAATTAATTCAATATCAGTGTAATATTTTAGAGGTAAACTTGCCTGTTCCGTTTATCTTGTTGCAATAAGAGTCATTCCAGTAACTCAGTGATCTGCACAACATCAAGTGTTTTGATGAGATTGTTAGTCTGAGTTTTACTAATGTTGTGTTGAAGATATGAATGTGACTGATTAATTGATTACTTAAAGGGGTCATATGATGCGATTTCAAGTTTTCCTTTCTCTTTGGAGTGTAACAAGCTCTTGGTGCATAAAGAAGATCTGTAAAGTTGCAAAGATTAAAGTCTCAAATCCAAAGAGATATTCTTTATAAAAGTTAAGAGTCAACCACGCCTACCTATGTCTTGATATTTACTTTGAAAGCTGACGGTAAGGAGCGTTACATTTCCGACGCGTGCTTGCAGTGTTCGGCCAATCACAATGCACTGGGTCAGCTGGCCAATCAGAGCAGACTGCGCTTGTCAGAGGAGGGGGCTTAGTTGAAAACTACGTGTTTGAGAGAGGCGGGGCATAGAGGACCTACAATAATGTACAGTATTTGAAAAATAATGTGTTTTTTGAACATTAAAGCATGTCAACATATTCTGTTACACCAAATAATGATCTTTAAAATAGCATCATATGACCCCTTTAAAACATTAACAAAACTGACAGTTGTTTCTGTATATACCATATCTACATTTAAGGTCTGGGTCATTTTTCTTTTAGAGAACAACAAACCCATCTACAACCCAAAGAATCATGTAAATGTTCCATTTTACACCAATTCTTCATGCTAATGTAACATATACTTACGTTTCACCCTGCCAGCGTTCAATCGTGGCTACCTTATTGATGTCATCTTTGCCTGTGAATACAGTGTATGGTCCATCCATGGTGTCATTGTACTAAAAGAAAAAACAGAGGTAAGATTTTCTCTGAATGTTAGAGCATAAATAACACAACAAATGGGTTATAGATTAGCTTCAAGGCTAATCTATAATCAGCTTTCATTAAACCATGGTCAGTGTAAGCTGAATTTAAATGTGCTCTATAAATACAATTTACTTACTTTCCTGGGGTCTTTAAAGGAATAGTTCACTCAAAACGAAAACTTGCTGAAAATTTACTCACCCTCAGGCCATCCAAGATGTAGATGTGTTTGTTCCTTCATCTGAACATATTTGGAGAAATTTAGCATGACATTTCTTGCTCAACAATGGACCCACAGCAGTGAATGGGTGCCGTCAGAATGAGGAGTCTAAACAGCTGATAAAAACATCCCAATAATCCACACGACTCCAGTAAAACAAACAAACAAAAAAAAAACAAATTCATCATTAAGATGTTTTAACTTAAAAAAAGTCTAATTTAAACAATTCTACTTTCAGTAAAAAAAAGCCATGTTGTCTGAATCAGGAGAGAAATATGCACAGATGAAGCACTGCTACCAATTGAAAACAGTCCAAAACAATTCTAAACATATGTCAGTGGATCTCCATTGTGAGAGGACATCAGGAGATGGACTTTTTCACTGGAGGAAGCGTTATTATGGATTATGGACTCATATTTTGACCAAAAGCGATGGTTTAAAGTTAAAACACATTAATTATGGATTTGTTTAGTACAAACATGCAGCTTTTCACTTCACAAGACAAGTGAAATTGATGGACTGGAGTCATGCAGATTACTTGTGGATTACTGCGATGTTTTGATCAGCTGTTTGGACTCTCATTCTGACGGCACCCATTCACTGCAGAGAATCCATTGGTATGATATAATGCTAAATTTCTCCAAATCTGTTCCAACAAACTCCTTTACATCTTCGAGGCCTGAGGATGAGTAAATATTCAGCAAATTTCATTTCCGGGTGAACTATTCCTTTAAATATTCTTATACCTTACATTCTTAGGTTTTGTGTTCTTACACACATATAAACTTATATGTGCATTTTAGGTCTAGTCCAATTTTGCAAATTATTTTGCTCATTCGCAATAAAACCTGTTTACCTGCATTTGTTCTGTATATATAGTTTATCAATCATGAAGCTATAAATATGTTTTATTAAGTGAATGCCATCAAGTGTTGGCAACCTTACTGGATAAAAAACTCCAAGTATGCTGCCCAGCATTGGGTCTTTGTAGCCCCACAACAATTCCTTAACAGTCCTGTTCTGGAAGAGTGTGGAATTGGAGCGTTGGATGAGCCAGTTTGCAAGTTTATGACCGAGTAAACCGTAAACACCCTGGAAGAGAAGAAAATAAGGTTTGAGTTGATCACAGCACAAGTATGAAACCATACCCTGTCGTAAATTCATCTGCCTAATGAAAACCTTGGAATCAACAACACAAGTAAAATTTATTTGCATCTATTACCTCTACAGCACTTATGACTGAACATCACCTGCAATTATGAATATGCTGTGTGCTATTATATGCTATTATATAATAGTGCTGTGCTGACTCTTGATAGATAATCGCAGATATCAACATTTTATCTATGATGTGATAAACTTTAACTGACTTTCTTCGCTGAAAACCAACGTTAAAGCAATGTTATCAACATCAAGGGTCAGCAACCTTAGGCAGGTGAGCAAAAAGAGTTTGTAAGAAAGATTAATACTTCATGTATTTATTTTATTATTTACACACAGACACTATCGTTCAACATGTTGGGAATGGTATGATTTTTAAGTTTTTACTGGAAGTCTCTTAAAGGGGTCATATGATGCTATTTTAAAGATCATTATTTTGTGTATTTGGTGTAACAGAATATGTTGACATGCTTTAATGTTCAAAAATTATTTTTCAAATACTGTACATTATTGTAGGTCCTCAATGCCCCGCCTCTCTCAAACACTTCGTTTTCAACAAAGCCCCCTCCTTTGACAAGCGCAGATTGCTCTGATTGGCCAGCTGACCCAGTGCATTGTGATTGGCCGAACACCACAAGCACTCGTCAGAAATGTAAAGGCTGATTTATACTTCTGCGTCGGACCTACGCCGTAGGCTATGCGGCAGTTTTCATTTATACTTCTGCGTCGTTGTCCGCAGTCAGCAGTGTCCACGGGCATGTTGCTGGTGTAACCCGCAGTACCACGACAAAAGTCGACGAAGAAGCGGCTCGTTGGAGAAGCATTATAGCCGTGACGGCGGCAAATAAATATCGAATCATTAAATCATTATTTAAAACTACAAAAAGGAGACAACAACGGAACAGAAGATGATGGCATTCTTTCAATCTGCACAAGGACTTGTACCACGGCAGATCAACATTGTTTGTTGTGGACAACTACTGATGTATAATGCTTTAGTATAATAAATGATAAGACACTTATTCTTTGCTTTGTTTTATTTAATATAAGAAGGTGTAACATTAAAATATATGAAAGTGCACATAAACACACAAAACTCAAGTACATACGGAGGGAGGCATTCTTGCAGACCAAACACAGCGCTTGCGGTCTGCGTAGAATTGACGCGCGCAAAACTCCGCATTTGAACAGTCAATAGCAAATACTTAAACTAATAACAAAACATACTTACAGTCGCTGATTCAGAAGCGCCAGATTGTCATAGCAAAGTCGGAATTTACACTTTTTTTTTAGAAATAGCCTTTGTGCACAGCCAGCCTTGTACTCTTCTAGGTTCAAAAAACTGTCGTCCATAAAATGCGTTGCACAAATTCAAACATCTGGGTTGTGCTGTTCTGTTGTAAATAAATCTTAACCAATGATTCCTAATTGCATCTACTTCCGGAAGGCCAAATAAAGTGCTTTTGTTTTCACACTAAAAAACACACAGAGTCTCCCTGACATGGCTGCATCAATACGACTGCTGTTCCTGAAACCACGCCTTCTTTCTTTGCGGGCACATTTGGGCGGCATTATGCTAATATCTCCACATAGTGATGTAGATATGAGGGGGTGTGGTTAAACGAGCCATTTTAGGTAGGTGTGGCTGACTCTTAACTTTTATAAAGAATATCTCATTGGATTTGAGACTTTAGTCTTTGCAACTTTACAAATGTTCTTTATGCACCAAGAGCTTGTAACACTCCAAAGAGAAAGGAAAACTTGAAATCGCATCATATGACCCCTTTAAGCTCACCAAGGCTGCATTTATTTGAAAATACAGTAAAACAGTGATATTGTGAAATATTATTATAATTTAAAATAAATGTATTCTATTTTATTATATGCAATTATTATTAATTACATGCAATGCATTTGAACATTTTTTTAACTGATGGCACAGCTGAATTTTCAGCAGCCATGCATCACAACAACTAGGCATGGAGCACAAGGGAAGAAAACAGACGAAAAGGACGACAGAAGGGCAGAGAAGGATGGCAAGAGATGGTTGTCAAAATACATACTGCTACAGCTAGATTGAGCGATGTGAATATGTCCTCCTCTGTGCCTACTGACATGCTAGGCTCAAAGATGGCTCCCGCCGGCAGCACAAAGGACACAGTGTAGTTATCATTGAAGGTGATATTTTTTTTGGGGATAAAACGCGTCCTAGAGGACAACAGAGAGCATGAGAATGTATTATGACCATTTAGTGGCTTAAAATTGCAATAAAAATGAAAGTTAGGTGGTGTTACAGCCGAGAAAAGCTATACTTTAAGAATGTATAACAGAAATGTCATGCCAAGTAGATTGTGAATAACATTTTTTTTAAAGTATTTGTATCCTTGATAATTAAGTCAATTGATGCCCCTAATGTAATGTGTATATATATATATATATATATATATATATATATAAAAGTATTCAGACCCCCTTAAATTTTTCACTCTTTGTGATATTGGTCCAAATGAAGTCCTTAGCAATGCATATTACTAATCAAAAATTAAGTTGATATATTTACAGTAGGAAATTTACAAAATATCTTCATGGAACATGATCTTTACTTAATATCCTAATAATTTTGACCCATACAATGTATTTTTGGCTATTGCTACAAATATACCCCAGCGACTTAAGACTGCTTTTGTGCATTTTTATTCATATATAATAAAAATAGTAATTAACAAAAATAGATAAAAGACCAAAAATAAATAAATAAAACATGCAAAAGTACTCCCATTTCAGTAAACAGATAATTATATCACTTTAGAACAAAACAGACATAAGGATGGAATGTAACATTTTCCTTAATTAGATAAGCATCATCCCATCAGATACATTTGTGCTTATCAACATACAACGATTAAATGACAACAGATTTTGACTTTTGAACAAGCTTGAAGTGCTTGTGTTCATATTGTCTATTTTTAAGCACAAGTCTCAGAAGTAGGTAAAAATGGTCTATACTTGCAAACGGCTGATGCTTTGGGATTCTTTCTGCTTTATTTCAGGTAGCTCAAGAGATATGGATGCTCTTGAGTAAATGATAAAGCTCAAAGAGTGAATTTGCTCGATTTTATTTTCTCTACCTTTGAGAGATAAAGAAGAATGGTTTGTTTACATGAGTACTGATGGAAAATCTATTTATATAGCAAGTCTTACCTGTACGTGTACGGTCCTTTCTGCACCAGCACAGGTTTGGCCCCTTGAGCTACAACATCATCAGGGTTCTGCACGTCAAACAGCCAAAACTGCCTGTATATTGCAATGTCTACCGACGTCCAGGTGTCAAATGCTAAAGTTCCGTTTTCCAACACGGTTTCCTTTAGAGACACAAAACATACTT